TACACACACACACACACACACACACACACACACACACACACACACACACACACACACACACACACACACACACTCACATACAAACACACGCATTTTTCATCCCCATTTTCAAACAGATTTTTTTGTTCAACTTAATTTCCCAAAAAGAAATGCCATCTGAGGAAATACGTACACGAAAGAGTCGCAACAACTGCTAGTTAGCAAAAACACGGAATGCAATAGAGAATAAACAGTGAGGTGTTGATAAGGAGTTTAGTGTTTTAAGGCAGTCTCGACCATACTATATCTAGAAATGGCAAAAAATACTGCACACTATTCTTCCATGTTTGACCCTTTTCAAGCCGCACTTACTATCACCGTCAGTGAGGTTTGTTTGAGTAAAAAGTACCATATCAACACTGACACGAAGTTTGACGTACCAGTAGCGCCCTCCAACCAACCATTATTTAGTAAACTGGAACTTACGATATCGTTTCAAAGTGGCTAAAAAAGTATTTTTTAGTTTTAGTAGAGTTTTACCGCGCTCGCAACTGCATAAGGTCATATGAGCGCCAGAAGATTAGAGGTGTTACAAGAGAGCAACAAATATAAAAAAGAAGAAGGGGAGATAAGGACGATAGATCTTTGATAGGAAAGAAGAAGCAAACCACACCAAAGCACCCGCCAACCACCCACCATTATTTAGTGAAGTGGAACTTACGATATCGTTTCAAAGCGGCAAGAAAGTATGCCGTCTAAAACTAGAAATTAGCAGAAAATAGGTCAAAGTCTATTTGTCCATTTTTTCTTCCTTTCTCTTTTCTTAGTGTATTAAAATGCAAGCAGCTTTTCAGAGACCACCAGTTTTCTCTTTTTGGTATTTTCTTCAGTCAGATATCTTGGCTTTGAAACGCTTAGCTGGAATTCGCACCCAGTTTGGCCCAATCGCAATCTAACGTCTTATCCACTGAGTCATTTTCATTTCCCACAAATGTTACTCGCAAATGCTTCCCAGGAATTTGAATTGTTAGAGAATGCTATCAGGTCCGCTGGGGTAATAATATAGACAGTAAAGCGCTAGAGTTGCTGTTGAGCGCTATACAAATGCTGTACATGTACATTTCATTTGAATTATCATTAATTAAATGTGACACTCCCGTTGAGAAGACCTTTCGTTGTCAATCATGTTAAAGCTAGCGCCCACTTTTGCCACTTTTATGAGGGTAAAATATTCGTACAGCCCACCTATACGTAATTCCAAAAGGGGCATTAAATAAGACATGTCACTATCCGGGTGATCCCCTTCGATCCATCAGGATTACAGAAGCGCCCACTAGTGGGCGATATCGTTCACGTTAGCAAGCACTGCATTAGAGTTTCGGCACATTTTTCAGCACGGCTTGTAATTAGTACGCATTAGCAAGAAAACCGAATTTGGCCATAGAGCTTCTTA